AGACATGACCAGCAGAACCGCAGAGGTTGAAAAAGCATACCTAGAACTTGGATCAGCACTTCTAATCAGCTGACTTTGAAGTGAAGTCTTAAATTGGGACAGAAGTTTGAGCCAAATCCACAAGCCTGACTCACATTGAGACACATACTGAGAATTGTGGTTTATGAAAGACAATTTATTATTAAAGGGAAACAACAATAGGATGATAAGCTACATATATGAAGCTATAAACAGGTGAGGTGTGAAGCTAAAAGCTTATATATAGTATAGTGTAATATATAGACAGTTATGTCGCAGTCTTCAAGCTAAGCTCTTCAACTTAAACGTTCACTTTTCTGGCTGCTTATGAACCTTAGTTAGTTATGACATTTAAACACAACATGAATGAGAGAAAGTCATGTAAACTTCCAAATAACTCAAACAGAAAAAGACAAAAAAAAAAATCCAATATGTGGTTCTACGATGCATTCAACAAATTCCTTTCTGCTGTGACGAAACATTTTCCCTTTCGAGTTAAGCTTATTTGGACCATCTGAATGTTGTTAGTCGCATCTTACAGCAATAACAAGTCTGCAGCAGCTGAGATCAGTAGATCAGTGACTAATTAATAAAGGATTAATTAGTCGTTAGTGATTCATATTTACTGCTAAATAGAAAAAGAAACAAAATAATTTGCAAAAATAATTTGCAAATGTCAATGTGTACTGATATAGGCTGTGTATTTGCACACGTGTTTCTGTAGTGTGTGTGTTGTCATTCTACACCCTTAACTCAAGCCACTGACCAGATGTTCTCTCTCACACCCGATCTCTTGGCCCTGTCTCTCTCCTTCTCACTGCTTTGTTCTTTTACCAAGAGTTTCCCTTTTTATTTCTGCTTATTCATCTCTTCAGCTGTCACTCAGCCTTTTCAACACACGACCCACAAGTCTACATCCAACCCAGAGTAAATGAATGCTCGACTAACTTTTCTATTGATATGGTTGTGTAGTCATGGTCCGTCATGTCAGTGGTTCCTAAGGCACAGAGCTTGTATTTGTCTCTTTTAATTCATCCGGATGAGTTACTGACCCACAAAAATACATTTCATTTTCTACATCTGCCTCTAATCTGTTTATAATTAGATGCTTAAATTGGGACATGGCCTTAGATGATTTCTTCATGTAGACTCCACATAACTGAGGTGTTAAAATCACCCAGGGGACCAAAATTTAAAAGAGAGTCTAAATTATAAGTCCAAACAGGATTAATTATTTATTAAACAGACAGGACCTTTCTCCTCAACAAAGAAATTTAAACAGACAGTAAGGACCTTTCTCCTCAACAAAGAAATTTAAAAAATGAAATCCAAAATAATAACATCAAGTAACATTAGAATTAGAGAACGCAAATATGGATCAAATATCAACATAACAACTATATGTTGTTCAAAATGTCTGGCGGTTATTATGCCTGCCTTACGTAGCCGCCTAACTCACAGAAGGTCCTGGGTTCAAGCCCCAAAGGAACCACATACTCTACATACTGGCACTTCCAGTTGCATCCTGTGTGGGTTGCAAAGACTCCTACTGTGAACGTCCCCAATGTAGGACAAATAAAGGACCAAACTCTAAGGTCTGGTGGACCACACAAAATGATAAGGCTAGCCACAGTTGGCCCACAGGCCTCGAGTACATATGTGATGTAGAGCACATTGAACTGCTCTGCCTATGCACTGTGCTAAATAAACAAATCCCATCTGGTATTAGGAGACATATTACCACTTTATTATGGAGTTTGAACTATGATCTGACTTTGAGGATATGGAATTATTGCCAGATCTCTGCAGGAGTTTATTCCTGTGCGAGTCACTGGAGGAGGATCATGTCTGTACATGTTTGCCTTTGGTACAAACTGCTCTCACTGTCAGTATGGTCAGACAGCCTGCAGAAACACTGAGGCTCCTTTAGGAGACGTCACAGAGGAAGTTCTTGATATACAGGCGACATGTTGATGAAGAGCGTTGTAAAGTGCTGTCCGTGGTGCTGAATTTCATTAGCAGGTAAATGATCATCAGTGTCACAGTTAATATAGATATTTGGTCATCTTCTGTATGGCCCCGTCTCACCATCTGACTTCATCTCACTCTTCTTTTACTTCCTAACTTAACAACACATGTTCTTGTCCATGATCCTCACTCAGGCTGGATGCTGGCTTTTAACATATATAATTGGCTATGAAAAAAGACTGATACAGTAAAAAATAAGATTACCTTAGTGCTGTTGAGGCCTTAAAATACCCACAGCAGAGCACAGTCAGTCAGTCAACTCGCTTTGGCCAATAATTCGAACACGGTGTGCAGAATTATAACACGTCTGATCAGAATTTCACGGTGAAATTCTGCACAGTTGCTGGTCTTTCACCAACTGGCTTCTGCACATCAATCTTTGCTCTTTATAAGGTTAGGTCTGTGTGACATCTGTAAAACCTAAACCTTATATTGTTAACCACACTGACCCCCCCTCAAAAAAGACAAGGTATTGAAGCATTATGGAATATAGACACAGGAGGGAAAGTAGAAACAATAATAATAATAGAAAAGAGAAGAGGAGGTGAGAGGAGAGGAGCAAAGAGGGGAGGAAAGAAGAAGAGAGGAGAGGAGTGGAGAGGAGGCGGAGATATGGCTGTTGTCTGACAATGTGAAAAGGAAATTAAACAATGCTGAAACCAGACAGTAGAACTAAATTCTTAAAGAGTGCAACACAGCTAAATACGTAAGACGCAGCCTCTTTCATCCAAACACAGAGAGATGTTTATCTAAAGATTAGGCTCTGATAAATGATCCAAGTAAAGAAATATCTGGAGTGTCTGTCAAAACAGCTGAGGGGAACTTGACTCAGCCCAGAAATCCTCTCTGCGTCTTCAAACACACACACAAAAAAACCCCAAACCAAAGCATGTTACACAAAATGTCATTTTTAAAAGATGCAACTTCAGTATAGTTGGGTAAGAGAGGTGACAGACTAAATGCAACATTGAAAAATAAGTTTGAATGTAATTCAGTCTGAAAGCGTTTATGGCTTTGGTAAAAGGAACGCTGCACTTCCAGGGAATTTTCATAAAATCTGAGCTGTACTTCACTTCCAGGAAATTTTCATAAAATCTGAGCTGTACTTCGAGTTAGGCCAAGGCTGACTCATCCTTTACAGATACCCTTAAAAACAAATCTAGATGAAGCAAAACCTGGAGTCCCCTTGCCATATGCTGTATATGTATCCATGGTCTTCTTGTAGGTACACAGCTGTGGATTAGACAGTGAATATTGAATGAAGCAGGTACAGGTGTGGGTTTGGATCATGAGGAGACTGGGGTGAAGGAATAAATGGGGCTACGGGTGAAAAGCTTTGGAAATGCGTTCGAAGGGAGAGGGAAAGGTCACAGTAACATGTCGTTAGCTGGGAGGTACTTTAAGGTGAGCCAGGACTATCAGGGAGCCACAGCAAAATCTTTAAAAAAAAATTAAGAATTTTGAATATTTAAAAAACAAAGTTTATTTTCTGCTTTTGTTGAAACACAAGAATCTTCATATGGAACCTCAACGTCCATGATCTCTCCATTTACATACTAAGTCTGGAGTCTGTGAAGACCAAATCAGTGAAAATTCATATTTGGTCATTTCTGGAATAGATTAGATTGAGATTTCCACTACTGTATTTTTACCAAGTTTCTGTATGTTGCTATAACATGGAATTTCAATGTTAACACAAAAACAGAAGTGTAATCTGACATAAACATCCGTCTTGGTCTTGGTGCACACATGATATCACAGACTAAATAATCTGCCTCACACTAAGGCAAAAGTTGTTGTGTAACCTCCACGTCTTCCCCTCGTGTCATGTAACGATTTTTGGTCCAATTATCATTAAGTGATCACACCTGTGGTAGAAGTGAGGCTCCTTCACTGTTCACGGCTACAATGGACTCACCACAGTGGGATGGATAACAGATGGACTTAAAACACAAGTATTTCACCTTTGTCCTGTTTAATAGTCCCAAACAACAACCATCTCTGATCAAAAGGACAAACGCTCAGAGGGACGCTTTAAACACCGGCCCTGAGATATAAGACACACGCTCTCTCTCCTTCTTTTGGACCTGCCTGGTTAAACCGCTGGGGTTTAGTATGGAGGAGGGAGGAGACAAGAAAAACGAGGGAGTGGGAAAGAGGGAGGAGAAGGAAAATGGGTTGGGACAGACCACCCCCCCACCCTCCACCCTGACACAAACGTACATGTGCACACAGACACACACATACATAAATACTCTCTGTGTTCAAAGCCAAGTGGTTTTCATAGACATCCAATTACACTAAGAGATGACATCTGGTAAACTGCAGCAGATGAATAAGGTGAAAGGAAAGACACAGATTCAGTCACCTAGAGAAACTACTGATAACAAGAGTTAGAGAGAGAGAGAGAGAGAGGGGGGGAGAGAGAGAGGGGGGGAGAGAGACAGAGAGAGCGAGAGAGAGGGGGGAGATAGAGAGAGACAGAGAGAGAGAGAGAGAGAGAGGGAGACAGACAGACAGGGAGGGAGAAAGAGAGAGCATTGGCTGATAGAGTAGAGGGAGAGGCAAAGGGAAAAGGGGGGGCCAAAGGAGAGGGAGCCGTACAAGTGAGGAAAGAAGAGAGTCAACGCGCTGCTCCAGCACTCAGACTCTGAGAGGCAAGGACAGAGGACAGAGAGGACAGACAGGGAGCTTTACTCACTGACAGACGCACAACCAGAAAGACGAGAGTTCTCCGGCTCAGTTCCACTCAAGTGACTTCAAACCAGCTCTGACAAAACAAGAGACCCAGAAAAAGAGAGAGGGAGAAAATGGAAGAATAAGAATCGAGTGGAATCTATGATCTTTTGTCAAGGAATTCTTTGAACATTTATTTTTCTATTTTCTTTTTTTTTTTTTTATTTCAATTTTTTCCATTGACATCTCACACCCCGATCTCCTCAAGCAATTTTTTTCCACTGACATCTCACACCCCGATCTCCTCAAGTCCCTCCGGACTGAAGAAGTGGTTTGGAGTGTTTTTGTGGAGTAGATGTGAGCTTTGAGCCAGCATCTTTGGGTGTAAGAGTGTAGGTGTGAATCTATGACAGTAGAAATGAGAGAGACTGTCAACCGGGTCTGAGAGACCAGACCCCAGTAGTTCGTGTCATAACTGAGTTGTGGATGTTGACACGTTCCGGCAGTGTCACTGAGGAACACACAGAAGCAAGGACTACGACACAGGCAGACACCACACTGAGGGCTTCCCCACCTCTAGCCGCTCCATCTGTCTGCCACCAACAACTTCCCAGTACGCCTGTTGCTGAGTACAAACAACAAGTTCTACAGGTTCTGCACCACAGTCCCGGGGAGGTTGTGGGTTCCCCATCCCGAAAAGGTGTAGTCGTGGCCAGTCGGGGGAGTTTCTCCCACTCTCGCTCCCTCTTCCTGCACCCATCTCAGCATGCCCCAGCCCCTGAGCACCTCCACAGCTCTCTCAGCTCCACTACCATGTGTAGATGGACAGTGACACAAGGTGCACCGGTCGCCTGGTTCTCCTCCACCTCCTCCTGCCCCTGCTGCCGCTGCAAACATTCCCTCCTTCTCCCTCTCACCTTCCTTCTTCTACTCCTGCTGCTCGGACCCTGTGCTTCCTCACCCCTGTCTGCATCGCTGTCATCCCCGGACAACAATGGAGGGAGCGCTCCTCACCTCTTTATCCCCCATTTGCCTCTCTCCTCATCCCCCGCTTCACTACATGCATCATCTGCCAGGTTGCCACGAGCGACCAACGTCTCATCGTCCTCTGCAACGGTTGTGGGACGTCACGTGCGGAGCAGCTACAACCATCTGCAGGGAGATGTGCGGCACAGGAAACTGTTCTCCTACCAGAAATTCTTCCTGCGCATTGACAAAAAAGGCACAGTCAATGGCACCAAGAGTGAGGACGATCCATACAGTAAGTCCCTTTTTTGTCCCAGAGTGAGTGTACCAGGAGGAAAGACAAAATACTAACATCGCTCACAGCTACGGCTGTCGTTTGTTACTTTTGAATCACTATAACCCTTTCAAGTCTTTAAAGACTTGTAAACAGCTGCTGATTGGAGCCCAGATTCATTCAGAGTAGTAATAGATGCTGTTGTCTTATCACATTCCTTCTGCTGTTTTAAGATAGAGAAAAAACAGAAAAGATAAGTTCAGTTTCGGTCACAGACAGAGGCTGTTGAACTAAGACTTAAGAGTTGGTTTTTACCCTTCTGACCACAGACGGAGGCTGTTGAACTAAGACTTAAGAGTTTAAGGAGAGACATTATGACAGTAGAGGGGTGGGAGAGGGGAGAAGAAAACAACATGAGTAAGCCAGGGCAGATAAATAAAAGATGATCCACTGGATCCAATTAGACACAGGTCCACAGTCAGTTCTCCTCTTAGGCTGATTTTTTTTAAAACACAGCTTTTTACAGAAATACTTTACTCTACTACTTTTGTACGTGCAGTGATGGCCACATGACTCACGTGCTGTGGAATAGCCCCTGTTTATGGTAAGGAGGGTGCCTCAGAGTAAGACATCTGGAGTTTCTTCTAAGTAATAATAAAAAAAACGTATGAACATTAAAGAAATGAAGAATTAACAAACTAAATTCGCAAAAATATTATCGGTCAGTTAAACGCATCTGGAGGATTTCCAGTTGTCGACCGCGAATTTTTTTCTGAAATTTTCTGACCGAAATGAAAAGAGCAGAACATTACTCACACTTTTACCTTCTGAGTAACTTCACACAATCAGACCAAAAACCCCAAACTGAACGTTCAGAACTCCTGGTTGTTTTGTATTTACAGAGTGTCTGTGTGTGTGTCTGGGTGTGTGAGTGTTTGAATTAGTCACAGCGTGCAACCCATGCATCTCTGTGACTCTGGCCTCATTAAGGTCACTGACACACCTTGGTACACATGTCTTGGGTTTAAATGCATCTGTCTGTGGTGCAGTACAAGCCTCTCCTGCTGAGGGCTCGCACACTCACATACATGCACTTCTGCACAGAGAGGCCAGTCCTGCACATGGCCTCCATATGGCAAAGCCCACTTTTATTAGGGCCAGTGTGAATATGTGTGTGTGCATATGTGTGTGTGTGTGTGTGTGTGTGCCACTCAGACACCAAGGCTCTGCCAGACATGGCTGAAGGAATTTCAATTAGCGTCTCTTCCTCCCTCCCTTATGCCTACACACACACACAAACATGTGCATGCACTCACTCACACAGTTATACATTAAGAGATCAATAATAATAGTAAAGGCAACCAGCCACCGTTGTGTATGTAATGGCATCACTTCATGGCATCAAAGACAAATCTGTAAAATCTCGTTGGAGGATTTGGTCCCCAGATCATTTATTCCACCTGACAAAGATGAACAGCCTTTTCAGATTCCATCAAAAGATAGAAACTCTGTAATCAACTCTTCATGTCTGTTGAATCACATGTGAACCACGTCTCACTGAACTCCACTGCAGTAAAGAGCAGGTCTAGCCGGCGTGAATACTGCACGTGCAGCACTTTCTGTACTTCACTGTTCTCTGCAGCAAAGAAGTATTGATCAGACTAATAAAAAATGTACAAAAGGATTACTAACACAGATGGCAAGCCACTTTTTAAAAAAATACTTATTAGTATGTCAACTTAGAGGAGAAAAAAAAAAGTTTGCCACTATTTGCTTACACGATTCAGGGTCAACGATTCAACATATTGCGATATACTGCCATGCGATGCGCAGAACGATGTATTGAGCTTCTTTCAGGCAATATAATGGTAAGAAAACTGTCAGCATAAAAACACACAATGCTGTTACATCTTAACGTCAGGTTACTCTAACTGGAACGGAGGGATATTTGCCATGAATATTTGTATGTGCATTGTGAAACAAATTGTCGCGATATTTCAGCGTATCAGTATTTCTTACACCAGTATCACGTACACTGCATGTGCACCTTTCATTCAGCTGATAAAGATGACAACTGATCACTCCACTCAGTGCTCCCCCAAGACTGCACCCACTCAAGGTAAATGACTTCTGGTCACTGTTGTGGTCATAGTTCATCTTAGGTGTATTTAATTAAATCTCTTAGTTGACTGTTTTATATGGTCTAACTCTGATGAAGTCCTGGATGGAATGATTGTCTGAACTACGTCAAGGTCAAAAAACACGCTCTCATTCAAAAATGACAGATTCTGGTCATTAAGGAAACTTCTTTCCTTTTTGAGGAAAGCATTAACCAAAAAACAAGCATGGAAGTTGTTAGTGTGGTTGTTATGGTAGAGTAGTCTGGTAATGTTCAGGAGGTCAGATCGCAAATGAGTGTCATTAGATGGAGTCAGAGGTGATGAAGACGTTTTAGTCGCAGTCTTGGGGTCGTCGCTCTTTTCCACCACAGAGCTGTTCTAATCATCCTGTCAGGGCTGGGGTGGGGGGGTGAGGGGTGGGGGGGCAGGTTGTTACTGTTGCCCATCAGTGTGTTTGTGTGCATGTCCATTTGGGTTGAACTATTCCTGTGTCTATGGCATGTTCATATGCAGAGCTCCAGAAACCACAACAAGCTGTCATTTGGCAAACACACTCCTGTCTGTTTGAAATGCAACAAAGACCACAGACTCCACTGACATCATAAAGCTAAACAATTAAAAGACTTTTTTTCTGATTATGCTATTTATTAAGGGACGTGTCAAACTCAAGGCCGTGGCCCAGATCCCACCCTCCACAGCCTTTTATGTGGCCCACCAGGGTTCAGCATGCATTTGTTTTTCTTAAAATAAATAGTAAATAAACAGTTGATAGTGAAAAGTTTAGTCCAATCAGATATTGATGAACGGACAATTGTCTCCAAATGAGGTAGGACAATGTGGTTTTGATATGAGACACTCTGTTTTGTTATTTTGAGTTATTGACATTGATTTTATTTTATTTTTATTTTTTTGCTTATTCAGGAAAATATAAATGCTAATTCTGTTTGGTTCAGGACAGTTTTTTTTTTTTTCAATTTTGGCCCCATGAGTGATTAAGTTTGACGTCCCTGCACTAAGGGCATTTTGGACAACTCCCATTTTTGCATATATTTAGACATCTTTTAAAAATGTATAGCTCTTGGTGACTTTCTGTCCCATCTTGCATACTTTTTATCTTATTTTAATTTTCATAAAGCAAATAAACACACAGGTGATACAGACAGTGAGAGAATGGCTGTGAGCAGCTCAGCCCTGACTTATTGTTGCACTCTGCATTGATCCTCAGTGTGACCACCCAGATGGTAAAGGCTGCCTCACATACTTATTGTTGGTATCCATCACAGCTGACACCCACTGACGTGGATTTCGCCCTCCGCAATTTATGAACATTCCAATACACTGGATAATATTCCAATGTAGTGCAGGGTTTTCCAGGCTAATTACACAGGTCCTCGCCCTCTTGGCTTGACCTTTACCTATTGACCCAAGTCAGGAAGCCTTGTTAATGGAGAGGTCAGGACTATAAATAGTCCAGCGCTTCTGACTCTGCTGCCCTGTCACCACCAGTTAAATTTCACATTCTTAAGGATGCTCAGATTTGGATGCTTTTCTTTTTCGTATGAACCTTAATTGGAGGTCGTGTTAAATGGTAAAATTAATTAAAATTAAAAGCCAATCTTTCCAACATATATTTAAAAAAGTTGTTGTCATTTAGCTAATTCTTGAAAAATGAATCCGGAGCACTTCCTGGTCTTTCTCCTCTGCCTCCTGATCCCCCTCCCTCCCCCCAACCTTCTCTCCTCTGTGATAGGTTCCAACCTTTTTATTATCATATTTCAACATCTTACTTGTGCTGTGTTCCTCTCCCTGTTTCTTTTCCATACCATTAGCATGTTCAGAGTTCTCGTGGGAAAAGGTAAGAGTGTGGGCCATAAAAGAGAGTTATGAGGACGTATTGGACGCACCAGAGGTTGGTGTCAGCATTGCTTTTCATTCAAAGTTACTTTGACATCTTCATGGACTCCCCCGCTACAATGGTCATAAATAAAGCGTGCAAACTCATTCAAGAAATTCCAAGCCCGCTGAACCAGGTAAAGCTGAGAGAGAGCTGAGTTTGACGCCAACTGTTAGATCACAGTTGAATGAGAAACATCTACATCCTGTTTTAGTGTAAACAACACCTCCTTGAATTATGCATCTCTGCATAAAAAAGTTCAAATACCTTTAAAAAGGTGTCAAGTATTGAGGTTTCTTTTGGAAGAATTTAAACTCAGGACAATGACTTTGTGTTAACTGATTCTTTGTCGCAGAGCAGGGGGATCCCAAAGGGTCCCCTCATTTTTGTAGGTCTTACAGTGTCTTGATGTAAAGTTCATATGAGCTTGTTTTGCAGACAAAAAGCTGCACAGACGCAGATTTACATCCGCCTTATTTCTATTGCTTCCCAGGAGTTGTCCCGTGTCCGTCAGCGGAGAACAAATCACTCCCGTCTGTCTGCACACAGAGGATTAGCTCGGATGAACTCAGATAAGACATACAGCTTCGAATTGCAACTCCCTTCATGGTGATATTTTTGTTAACATAGTGCAGCAGGAGTCTGGATCAAATCATGTCAGCTCTCATTCATGAATCCTTTCACTGCAATCCACTCAGCAAACACTGGCCACGATCTGCACTGACATTACATAATATTACGTTTTCTTACATAAGCAGTGACATTTAAAAAATGACCTTTTGGGTTAGTGTTGCTGCAAATGCAATGGAGCCACACTTCTCTTTCCAGCAGGGGGGGGTTACAGATACAGTCGTAACGGCACGATCCATTAGTTAAGTGCAACAGTCTGACATCATTACTTTGCATAATTTTAATCTTGTTACTGCTACTTTTTTCCACAACAGCAAGTCCTATATATTGATCCTTCAAAGTCAATTCTGACTCTTTACTTTGCACTTTTTCTTCAT